TTAGTTCCTTACAAAACTAACACTAACCAACGCTATGAAAGTTTGATTTATCTTTCGTTTTCGTCTGAAGAAGTTTTAGATTTGTTAACATCACCTTGAAAAGCCAGTGTCATACTAGTTAACGTTTATGAAAAGCAACACTAGAATAAATTAAGTTACTTATTAACTTGATACTTCATAGTTAAGCTTTTTATTAACTAAGTTACTAATGTACCATTATCTAATTTGATTCCTAACTACTAATTCAAATTCTCGTAAATCTAAATGTCTACGTTCTTTCATCAACTCTTAGAGAAAGTTAGTCGATAAAATATGCATCTTATCTTGTTTGATCTAATTAGTAATTGCTGTTTTTTCTTTGTTGAGATCATCACCGTAACCAATATAATAGGTACTAGACCGTTGACCATAGATGCCGCTGGTGGATTTCCACATTATGAATTTCCAAGATGGAGTACCATCTTGGGCTGGTTTATCTTTGTTTGTTGTATTCTTCCGATTCCAATCGTCTTCGTGATCAGTTACATTCGCGAATATCGAAAGATTGCCGCTCAACGAGCAGTATGTAAAATTCTTTCTTTTGTCATGTGTTTTATTTGAAATTGATTGAAGGCAAAAGGCAACTTTGGTGACGATAATGATAGCCCGGTGGCAAACAATTTTGAGGAGAAGCCTCTTTACCTAGCAGCATTGACAGCAAATAATTCGCCTGCAGATTATTGGGGACCTCGGAGAAGAAAGCATCAGACCGGTGCGTATGCTCATTTGGCTGCTAAGTCAACTGTCCATGATATCTCTGCTCAACAACAGTTTCCTAAACGATCCATAACAGCGATGAACAACACCGATATTGGCGCGGGTACCACAAATCCAACTTTCGATCCAGACTTAACAAAGAATGATGATGGCGAAAGCGTTTTAGATGAAAAGTTTTGATCGTAAACAATGATAAATTTATTTGGCAAACATTTCGATAAATTTTGCACATTATCATTATCTTACAAACTCAGTATTTCCAATATTTTTTGCTTCAATTAATTTCTTATTCAGTTCAATTGCATAACAATGTTTGTTTGATTTCAAAGCTTTTTCTTTATAAAGAATCCTAAAAATTCTTTAATTTGATCATGTCCAAAAAGCGATTGGTAACGAAACTCTCAATCCATAAACTCCCTAAAATCGTACTGACCAAGACAAACCTTGCATCAAATAATTTTGATATAACTTATCTTGATATGTGACAACTTTTTTATCAAAAATGTTAGCAACTTCCGAGCGCTTTCAGAATAGTTAATTATTTTTGTGAAACACGATCTGAAAGGAGCGTTGAAGTATATAGGGTAGAAATTTGGACTCACTCCCTCTCCCACGGACTGTGACAGACAATTACGTGACCCTTCACACACCGTGACAAGCGGCTTCAAGTGGCTATCGGAGATCATGTTGAATTTGTATTCAATAGCGACATACACGGAGTATTTGCTTGTTGAAATTCTAGATTGTAAAGTAAGCAATTGTGAAGAAATATGCCGCGATATATACAAAAAAAAACACAAGTTTTCAAGCACTTGGATACAATAGCCAGATCATGTTTCACGTTTTAATCTCGCAGGAATTGCGTTCACCGCTTTTTTAAAATATGCTTTTATGGTGAAAATAGTTCTAAAAAGCCAATTAAAACTATTTTTTCCAGGGATATGTATATATAATGTGGACTCACATCTGACTCATGCCAACTTTGCCTTACTTCACACCACTGATAGAAATAACTTTTCCACATGTTTGGTGTTTCGTTTGAGTTTCCTCGAAAATTTTATCGTTGTGATGAGTTACTTTGATATTAACTTTTGGCCGATCTCGCTTGACAAAAGAATCAGTTCTCACAAATCTCTCAAATCTATTTTTTAGTATTTCTCAGATTACTCTATTGAACAATTTGTACACACAAAAATCATTGATTTGTATGAATCGAGCATAGAGATGAACGAACGGCATTCATCAAAGTACTCATTTCATTTCTGTCGAAATACTTTGTAGAGTGTCGCAATACAACTCAATCCACACTGAACATCTGTTTGTGGACGCAGTCGGATTCTAATTGGATACCAGTCTCATTTAGAAAAACCAAGGATTTTTCCAGATTTTATTCTACCTTTCAAATCATAATTTTTATATTCTATTCCAAAAATCAACGAGCTAAAAGCTTATCAGTTCATATAATCTGTCCATATAATAAAAAATTTCATAATCCATCTGAAACGATTGCGAAAGTTTAGTATTATTTCATAAAATATGAGAACATTTCTTGAAATGTAATCAGATTAATCTATTAATTTACAATGAAATAGCTTGAAGATTTCAAGTAGTATAATTTCAACCAACGAGAAGACGTCATTTGCTACTATCTTGTTCTTATATAAAAATTTTCAAGAATTGAAATCAATAATGTACGATATTACAGCAATGGCTCTGTACTGATTTCTGTGTCATATTTGTCAATGCATTTTTAAGTCAGCAATAAGAATAGCTTTTCGTCAAACACACGTCTTTTCAAAGAGAATATTTCTTCATAATTGTGTTACTTCATAGTTTCGTTGCAGAACATTCTTTTTTTTTTTACAAAAGAAATAGATCCTAAACATAAATGCATTAACTACCTAGTTTTTCATGAGAAATAATTCAAAAGATGAAAACTAAATTCGAACCGTGGCTGCAGAGTGAATCACTAAGTGTGGCAAGTATTTTTTTAGTCCGTAGCATTATTAAAGTAACTATATTTCTAATCAAAGGAATTACAAATAGAAAATGAAGTATCAATGGCTTATTTTTTGGTGGTAATCGGTCTTTCATCTAAAAACAAAAATATTCGTTAACACAATATTTCGAAATAGTTTAAATCGATTGAAATCATTCTAATTTAATGAATTATTATCGAATTGTTTTCCTTTGAAAAATGTTTTTATTTTGCCTCTACATTTACAATGTGTTGGAAAAAAATAGTTGTCAATGACAATGTCTTATTAAAATGTTTATACCTAAAGCTATTTTATTAAGCGATAATATTTAAAGAAAGAAAAAAAAGAATAAAATATTGATCATAGACGAATACGAATACAACATAAACAATTGTTTATATTCAGAAAATAAATTAATTATTGATCATTATCATTTGATGCTTATGAAAAAGATCAAGAAATTGTTGACGAAGACTGTTCCGAAATAATTTACTTGTCAATGTATTTATATAAAATGTTTTACAATAATTCATATAATAAAACCATCTTGCAATAAAACTAAACATAATATAAAGAAGAAGTTGAAAAAGATCTTTTGGTATTTGATTAAAAAAACCAAAAAGATAAATAACCATATATGGAATATTTAAAATTATTGTTAAGAGGACCTGAACTAATAACATTGTTAACATATGAGAAGTTTTTCGATTTTGAACAATTATTATTGGAGTAATAGATGATATTTGAGCAGTTGTTGTTCTATTACTTCTACTAAGTGTTTGAGGCATAACTCGTGCTCGACTTCGTTTCATATTATAATAAATTAATAAACCAAATATACATAAAAGAAAAGGAGTAATAGCTCCTTTATATAATGAAAAGAAAAATCCATCAATAATAAGAAAAGTTGTAGGTGAACCAATTTGAACTGAACATCGTGTTATATTTGTTAATGGATCTCGAATACGATTGTAAACAATTGGAATATGTAATGAAAATATAATCCATATGATAAAAACAATTATCACTATAATTCGACTAATTTTTAAATTACTCCATTTTCGAAATGTTTGATTTAATGAACTAATACAAAATCTATCAATTGATGCAAGTATTATATAACTTGATGATAAACAAGGAAGTATAAACATGATATAATTTCCAACTTTACACCAAATATTTGTTGAATAGATAAGATCAGATAGTGATTTATTAAAGGTTGTTATTATTTCCATAAGAATAAATACATTCATTATACAAAAATCAATAATTGAACTTGATAAAAAATAAAATGAACATGAATTACGTCGAATTTGTTTTTGAAGAAATGTTATTATATTTAAAATAGCTCCAAGTGTTCCAATAATATAAAGTATAACAATCATATATTTATCCATGTTTAGAAGAACTTCAGATACTCGAGCAATATCACTTAGCGAAACACTTATTATTAACATATTTAATATCTTCTTGTTGACGAATACCTAAAACAAATGAAAGCATAAATAGGTCATTCTCAAACAACGATCTCTTCTATGCATATTCATAACTGACTTACTTCTTTGAATAGAATAAAGAAAATAATTACACGGGATAAATTCCAGCTACTAATTATATCATATATCTTTGAAAGATAAAATCGTGGGCGTCAACAAAAATCAAACGTATTATGTGACAAACTCAAATCCTAAGAGCAAAAGCTCTATTTTTCATTCTCTCAAGGATTCTCTAGTAAATAATGATATTTTATAAAAAAAACTTGTTAGTGCAGTTTCTTTGAAGCTGATATGTCAAACTTACATATTTCATATAATCTAACAGATCATGTAGTGTAAATAATGTTTTTATATAAACTAATAGTTTTAAACAAGCCAGTTGAATCAATCAAGGGTTTAGACAATGAAAGATTTATTTGTTTATTAACTCTTTTATTACCGACAAAAGATAAATATACGTAAAATAGAGTAACTGTACCTCATGCACGTTACTGTTTCTTACAGTAGGAGTCGTAACAAAATGATAATGTAGAATGTTTTTGTTGCTTGATATTTGAATTTACTCAAATACATATAAGAAAAGTACATTTTAAATGATTGTATTAATTTCAGGCAATGATTAAGGTTATGATACATATATGCGTCATCGGTAATCAAAGGGTTAATAAACATTAATATTACTGGCAATATAGCAAAATATTTTTTTTAAATCATATTCAACATGATATAATTATTATCAGTTCTTTAATCTGTAAAACTAAATAGAACGTGGATTAGTTTATAAAAAAAAAAAATAATTTATTTTCTTTTTTATTATATAACAACATTATTGTTTTTATAACATGATGAAGAAAAAAAATATATATGACAACAGTCATAATGGATGAAGTAATAAATAACTATAATGATACTTCTTATGAATCGAAACATTTTCATGTAGATATTGAAGCATTAACTACGATAAGAAAAAAAAAACCATTGTCTCACTATTACTAGTGCGCATATTAATGCCTTAATTCTACATTCTTTCCTCTACTTACTTATCTCTTTGATCTTAAAATTTCACCGACTATCATTTGCTATGCAAATCTCTTATTTACCCTGAGTAACTACAATTGAGAGCAATATTAAAATAATTGGTCTATATCTGTTGTTGCTAAGGTCTGTAATCAGGAGAGGGAAGGTAGAAAGTAGCAATACGTCGACTTAAAATTTTCGCTCACTATTTTCTTCGACAATGTAAATGAATTCTACAAAATAGATACTAACAGAAATAGAATATTTTATTTGATGTGATCAGTAATCATAGAGAAATATTTTGTTGAAATCGTACTTATAAAAATATTTACTGAGTATATGTTGATCCAAATAAAACAGTGTTTTCGTTGAAAGTTGAATATTTCTTATATATAGAAGTGGTCTAAAATTCTGACGCATGATCAAATTAGTCAGCGAATCAGATATCTTAGATTATATTTAAAAAAATGAGTTCAATATAGGATTATATCTATTTATGGATGTAAACATTGTTTCAAACGATAGATTTACATGTGTTTTTTCGAAAAGCTATTCAATAACCTGACATCAGACTTTTAAGCTTTTGATTTCTTCTATATAAATAACCATGTTCTACGTTTATAAAAATTACTTTTAGTTATTATCTATTAATACAGTAACAATATTTCATACTAAATAAAAGAATGAAAATTTCTTCCATTAGACAATGTGTCATGTTCATATTATGATAATACAAAGATTAAATCTTATTTATATCAGTGATAATTAATAATTTTAGTATGCAGGATATCTCCTATTATGAAACAATTTATTTTTTTCAGCTCATATCAATGATGATTTTCTTTATTTTATTGAAATTTTTATTTTCTGAATCATACATTTCTATTTTATCGTAAGAGAATATCTCATTTAAACTAAACAATAAAAACAAATAGAAAGACTTTTTTTTTGTATATTTTATTAAAGTTAGAACAAAAAGAAAATATTTAATTTTACAAAAAAAAAAGAAATTATTCATTCTATCGATTATTTGCAATTGTAGGAATAATTGTTCTTGTAATATTTAATCGATGATGACGACCAAATAAAATAAATTGCTTACGAAGACTATTTCGAAATAATTCACTTGTTAATGTATTTATATAAAATGTTTTACAATAATTCATATAATAAAACCATCTTGCAATAAAACTGAATATAATATAAAGGAATAAATTATAAGAATCGAATGATAATCGTTTATAAAATGTTGATAAATAAACTACAATATATGGTGTATTAAAAATAATTGTAAGAAATACTTGAACTAATAACATTAATATCATATGAAAATTTTGTCGATTTACACCAATTCTTGTTGGATTAACTGTGTTGTTATTTCCTCTGTATTGATGAAAATTAACTCGCTGTCGACTTACTTTTATATTATGAAAAATCAATAAACCAAATATACACAAAATAAAAGGAATAATAGCTCCGTTGAATAGTGCAAAGAAAAAACCATCGATAACAATAAAAACTGTGGCTGAACTCGTTTGAACTGTACATCGATCTGTGTTTGTTGTTATGTCTCGAATACGATCATAACCAATTAGAATATGCAATCCAAAAAGAACCCATACTACAAAAACCATACTTATTACAATACGACTAATTTTAAAATTACTGCATTTTCGAAGTGTTTGATTTAATGAACTAATACAAAATCTATCAATTGATGCAAGTGTTATATAACTTGATGATAAACAAGGAAGTATAAACATAATATAATTTCCAACTTTACACCAAATATTTGTTGAATAGATACGATCAGATAGTGGTTTATTAAAGGTTGTTATTATTTCCATAAGAATAAATACATTCATTATACAAAAATCAATAATTGAACTTGATAAGAAATATAATGAACATGAATTACGTCGAATTTGTTTTTGAAGAAATGTTATTATATTTAAAATAGCTCCAAGTGTTCCAATAATATAAAGTATAACAATCATATATTTATCCATGATTAGAACAATTTCAGATACTCGAAGCACATCACTCGTCGAAATTCTTGTGGCTACTGCTGTCATGTTTGACATTTGTATTCCAACTCACTTGATAAACTAAACAGGAATGAAACTATTTATATAGTTTTTCATCAAAAAAAGTTCATTTCGGTGCATCTATGTAATAGACTTAGTTATGATACTACGATACAGAAACTAATTACAAAGGATAGTATCGTATGTCTATATATTATATTTTTTACTGATTAAAAGCTGAAGATAGTGCGAACTAAAAATCTTTTTCTTTTATTCATTGTAAATTAAAGATAAGTTATAATAAACACTATTCCAAATAATTGATTTACAAAGTTACATACAGTCATAGCCCACAATAAAGAATGCTTGCCTTTATTTTTATTATTCAACATTAAAATAGACAATTAATATTTGTATATGTAATGCATAAAACTTCACTCGAAACTCTGTACATATTCCAAATGACTGAAAATTCAAAAGATACTTGAAATAAGGCTCACATCCCGATTTCGCGAAGTTTGAATTTTTGACAGACGAATTTTCAGTGTTTTTTTTTTTTCATTTTTCTCCTTATTAATTCTAAAAAAACCACTGTAATCTATAAAATCTGGTCGAATCTAAAAGTGTCTTTCAATCGATCTTTTGAGTCGTCGATCTCGCGCCCCTTCTCGTAAAACATGTAGATATCAAGGTTATGGTCGTATTTTAACTTTAAAACTACTTTGACACAGTACTGTCAGTCAAAGTTAATCATTTTAAGCTTTAGAATTGAAGCAGATTTTTCCACAAGATTTTTTGCAAAAAGATAATATTTCTTTCATAAAAAAATTGTTTATTTTAAAAAATAATTTCTTCATAAAAAGGATCACTTTTCTCACATTCATTTAGTTTTTTGAAAAAAATAATTTCTTCACAAAAAAAGTAAAGAAATTTAATTTAACTTTCAAAATGTGAAAGTTAAAGTCTAAAGGGTTCTTATTTTTATTTTGATTTAAATTTATAGTTAAAGTGTTACGCCTAATGAAAACACTCTTAGCACTTACATATAAGGATCAATAGACAATAAATGACTTTATATATTTAGTGGCATCCGATGGAGAATTTTTTTATCTAGTATTTCATAAAGAAAATAAAAGAAACAAAATAACAATGGTCAGTAGTTTATTATAAATACGAACGACATATTTTCTATATAAAATACTGCTTGTGGATGAGGGCACTGAGTCCAAAGTAAACTAGTACCAAGCATTGGAATAGGTCGTCTAAAAAGCTGTGTCAAATATGAAAAAGTAACATGATTTGAAAGACAGAAAAACGTTTCACTAAATCCAATGTTTAACTTTGCCAGGATATCGAATACATCGCTATTAATTACAAAATTTAGAAGTTCGGATCGAGCTTGTAAACGATGGAAAGCAAATTGTAAATTATTCTAAGCAAGTGTTTGCTTGACACTTTATTTTCATAAGCAGAGTGTAAAATAGAGTGTCAACCAAACATCGCAAGAGTCTTGGCTGCTTTGTTACAATGGTTGACCCTCTTGCTGTTAGAAGCACTGTGCATTAGACCAGCAGGAAATTATTTTTGACGCAAGTTAACCTATCTACATCAATTGAAAATCACTATCATAGAGTTTAAGTGAACTTTCATAAACCAATATCTGTTTAGGAAAAATTATGAATTGTAATAATCATCTGCAGATGTCGTTTATTAGTAAAATTATTTTGGTGTCATTGACTGTAACTATTAAAGAACCCATAATTCTCTCATGATTATAATCGTGACCGTGACCGTGACTATTTCAGAAAAATCTTCGTGGCCATGAACATGATTGTGACGTGATGTGACTAAAAAAATCATGGTCACGCAGAAGTCTATCGACAATACAAAAAGTACATTCATCTTGCTCCTTTGATTACTAGACAAAAACGAATTGATTATCGAAAATAAGATTTTGCCACGTCATAACAAATAATACTTTATTGTTCTCTTTAGAAATAAAACTCAAAACTGCGACAACTTCTCGAAAGTATGAATTTCAATAGGAATACATAAGCTTTTGCATGACTCCAATAAACATCGAACAAAGCACGTATCGATATTGTCCTAATGGATTATCAAATATTTCTTCTATCTAATGTTGATGTTAAATAATCACTGCTTCTTTATACATTTTTCTATACCACGTTATACAATGTTTTAATACATAGAATAACTGCCGTTTTTTTTTCAAACTTTTTTATCATTTTTATTGCAGTAAGTCTATTATTCAGAATTCATGCCTGTGTTTAACCATCTATAGATAAAGAATTCTTGTTATTTTTTATGAGAGAACATCGAGAGAATGAAAACAACTGTTAAAAGTCACCAAATTTCAATTCGAATACAAAAGCAAACACAAGATATTCGTTCAACAATAAATGCAATTGTGAGAGTCAATTCATTTCATCTTATCTTAGCTTTTTTTATGGCTGCTGTCACCGATACACATATCTATAAGTAAATATTTCTTTCTTTAATGATCACATTCTCTTCAATCATAGTTTCGCCGATGCATGATTTTCAGCAGTGGACAACAATCTGATCGGTGAGATAAATGAAAATTTTAAGCGGAATTCAATCGTTCAGGTCAAAAATGCGATTTTCCATACCAAAAGAAATATCACAGCACTACCGGGATAAGACACCTATTCATGATGCATATCGATCTGCAGATGAATGAATGAATAAATATACATACATAAACATACTTTCCATTTGGAAAAATAAAAATCCAGCGAAAAAAATGCATGAATGCAGCGGGAAAATGGTTTCTAGCAGTGAGAGTAATGCTATATGACAGCAGAAAAATGCTTTTCAACTATCAATATTTAAATCTACACATATGTCCCACATGGAAAAATACAAACCCATCGGAAAAATGCGCGAGGACAGCAGAAAAATGGTTTCTCTCAGTGAGAATAATGCTATATGACAGCAGAAAAATGCTCTTCACCTATCAATATTTACATATATGCATAAATTTCCTTTGGCAAAATGAAAATTCAGCGGAAAATGCATGAAGGCAGCGGAAGATGGTTCCTATGAGTGAGAATAATGCTATATGATAGCAGGAAAATGATTTTCAACTATCAATATTTACATATATACATAGATTTCCTTTGGAAAAACGAAAACCCAACGGAAAAATGCACGAGGACAGCTGGAAAATGATTCCTATCCGTGAGGATAATGCTATGTGACAGCAGAAAAATGTTTTTCAGCTATCCATATTTACATATATAGATATATTTCCTTTAGAGAAATGAATCCAGCGGAAAAATGCATGAATCCAGTGGAAAATGCGTGAGAGCAGCGAGACAATGGTTCCTATCAGTGAGAAAAATGCTATATAATAGCAGAGAAATCTTTTCCAGCTATTCATATTTACATATATACATATCTTCTCTTAGGAAAAATGAAAGCCCAGCGGAATAATGCATGAATGTAGTGGAAAAATAAACGAGGACAGTGAAAAAATGTTTGTATCAACCAGAATAATGCTATATAATAATGGCAGAAAAATGTTTTCCAGCTATCCATATTCACATATATGCATGCATTCCCTTGGAAAAAATGAAAACCCAGCGGAATAATGCATGAATCTGGAGGAAAAATAAACTAGGACAGCAAAAGAATGTTCTTATCAATCAGAATAATGCTATATGACACTAGAAAAATACTTTCAAGTTAAATGTATGTAAGCAATGACTCACCATAATCCTGCTCTTGATCTCTTTTCTGTCGATTTTTTCTCTCGTTCATCCTTGCTGTTATTATCTTTTTTTTTTCTTTTCTCTTCTTTCTTATATTACTCTACATATCTGTATAACACATCAAAGACATTTGAAAAGTTAGATTATATAAAATAAAATTAAGCACGTGTAAGAGAGAGAACAACGTATTTACATATATACATACATTCTTACAGAGGCGGATTCAGAAAATCAGTGAGGAGGTCGCGGTTTGCCGGAGGGGCGGCGATCATAGTCAAATAACGGTTTTCGAAGCCTATTCGAGCCAGTACAACTCTTATTTTGTATTTCTGCTGGAGAAAAATGAAAAAAAAATTCGCGAGGGGGCGGCGATTGCCGGTTCGCCGAACACTGGATCCGCCGCTGCATTCTTGTCAGAAAAATGAAATTCCAGCGAAAAACTTGCATGAATGTGACGGAAAAATGCTTTAGTAGTGTAGAAAAGTACTTTTCGCTAATACGAAAAATGATAGAAAAAGACGAGAAAGGGTGTGGGTGGGTATGGGTGTGTGAATGTGGGTGTGGGTGTGTGGGTGTAGGTATTAGTAGAGAGAACACCCACAACCACACTCACACTCACACCCTCACCCACACCCATACCCTCACCCACAACCACACTCACACTCACACCCACACCCGCACCCTCACCCACAACCACACTCACACCCACACCCTTCATTTCTTATCAACTTAGCATAAAACTTTCTTCAAATAAGACAACATAAAGATATAATGGTCCCTATTTACACAAAAAGCAAAAGAAAAACTGACATACGACATGAAAAACAAATAAGAACACTTATATAAAATTATGCAAAACAAGAAAGGAAGAAGAAAAATATGTAATCGATTACTCACGGTTACGTCAATAACACACGTCGAAATGACATATATGATGAAAGAATAAGTTGGAAAAAACCTTTTTTTGACTTTTTCTTGGAATAAAAAGTAAATTTATTGATTTTTGTTTTCTACGTTAATATAAATATTTCTATTTCAAACCAAAATCTTATATTTCGTGAGTATCATTAGAGTTGTGTTTTGTTTTATATAAAATGAGTGAATCAAAACCAAGACCAACAGCCAGCTCAGAAAAATTAAAATGGCAAGCAAAATCAGCATTTAATGAAGGTAATTACACATTAGCTATAGAACTGTTTAGTTATGCATTAGAACAAGTACCAAAATATGCTCCCTATTTAACAAATCGTGCTTTATGTTATTATCGTTTAAATGATGCTGATAAAGTTTTAAAAGATGCATCAGCAAGTATTCAATCTGATCCAAAATGGGCAAAAGGATATTTTTATAAAGGAAAAGCATTAGAAATGTTAAATCATAAACAAGAAGCAATTGAATTTTATAAAAAATGTTGTGAATTAGAACCAGATCAAGAAGAATATCAAAATGTTCTTAAAAATTGTCGTGAAACATTAACAACAACAAATAGATCAGTCGATAAAACACCAACTCATGATGTTTTATGTGATGTATGTCGATGTCGTCCAATAATTGGTATTCGATATAAATGTTCAGTTTGTGATGATTATAATTTATGTTCAAAATGTCTTAATTCAAATCCAAATCAAAGAGGACATAAAGATACTCATCCATTAATTCCAATTAAACAACCACAACAATCTTCAAAAATCAAATCAAATCAACAAGAATCAACAATATCTAATTCAATACCTCGACAGATTGATGTATCTCTTGCAATACATAGTTATAATATTGTTTTAGTCATAGATGTATCATTATCAATGATTGGTTATGAAGCAAATAATAGAATAAATCCTTCAAAAAATCGATGGCCTGTAACAGAACGTGGAATAATTAAAATTGCTAATCAATTAGGTTTGAAAGATTCTTTAACATGTTTAGCATTTAATGCTAAAGTCTATGAAATAATGGATAATGAACCTGCTGATAGTGCTAAATTAAAATTAGCTTTAGTTTTATCTTCTTTAAAACCAAGTATAGATGATGCTAATTCTGGTACAGCATTATATGATGCTATCGATTCAACATTTAAAATTTTATTAAGAAATAAATTTGCTGGACTTTTATTAGGTGATTCAAATCGAAATCAAATTATTTTAATTACAGATGGAGAAGATTGTAGTTCAAAAAATTGTAATTTAGAACAAGCATGTCAACGAGTTAAACAAATTTGTGATGATTTTGAAACTGATATGTTATTAATTGGTATAGGGCTTGAAATACGAGGAAGACAAGCTATGAATCAATTAAAACGATCGGGAGGTCAAAAATGTAAATTTTTAGATTTATCAAGTTTATCAGAATTAGATGATATTTTTGATAGAATATCGCTTATTTTTACTCAACGAACAGCGGTTATTAATGTTTAACTGCTTATCAAAAATACATATATTTACTTTCGAAATCTTTCAATTAATTCGGAATTAATTTGTTTTTCTATTATTTTCAACTTGTATTGATAATATTTCATATAATAAACATTCTTTAAATAGTTATTTTATAATTTCATTAAATTTTGACAGTGTGATGTGATTGATGTAAAATATTTTTTACTGTGTGTTAAATAAATGATTATCGATCATCGTTACAGGAAGTCGCACCAACTAATGTGTCAAAATCAGAAAAACAAGTAGGACAATCTCATAGAAAAAAAACTAAGGATTTTGTAAAAAAGGATTTTACTATTTCTGTACAAGACAAACTCTGCATATAAGTGAATAGAGTAGTGATAAATTCAGGACACTTGTTCTTCTAACAGTTACTCATGCCACACATATTTCTAAATATGCTAGTCCTTAAAAATTTATTAATAACAACAATAACTTATAATCTATTAACTTTAACTGTAGATATTATCCTTTCTCTATTCATTTTCGTCGATATCTCCCAGTGTTTGCATTGCTTCGAATCAAATTCTATTGAAATTGATCTAATCCACGATGGTGACTAAAAATGACGAGAGTAAGTTCAAATGTAGAGATAGTAGACTGTGGAAGGTAGGTTTTCTGAAAATATATTTTCCAATTTTCTGCGTTTCCATGGTAACCAGTTATTAGTATTTAAAGAAAAACAAGTAGGTTTCATGATTTTTGGCAAAAAATTTGAACATTTGTAGCGTCATCAATTTCTAAACAATGTCCAAAAGATGTAGCTTTTCAAGTCCTACAAAATCTGTATGAAATATAAGAAAAAGACATTGCATTAAATTGACGAGTGACGGAACCCAAAGCAGCACTTAGCGCAGATTTTCTCATAACTAGACGCTTTTATAATTAGGCAGGGCTAAATGTGTTTGACTTTAATGTTTTTGGAATTAAACCTACAAAGCTCGTCAAAATTTATATTCCGTTTTAAAACATTAAAATTAACACAATGTGAATACATGAACGAACCTTCAATTTTACCGTGGTTACAAACCATTTTTAGTGGTTTTTAAAAATTTAAAATTTTAAGTCTTAAACTACACGCTTTTTTTCTAAAAATATTCATTTTAAAGTACAGACTTTGTTCTATCTGTAGGTGGAAAAACTAGACTCCTAGGCCTTTCCGTTTAAACACAACATACCTCGATATTTGTACGGATGCATATGCATCGTAGGTTATTTTGTTTAACAAATATTGTGTCTTTTATTCCTAAAACTTAAAGATAATCTTAGTGAAGTATTGAGTACAACTTTCAAAATTGACATATACCAAGGGGGAAACGGCGTACTCCCGTATTCCAGAGTACCGGGAGTACGGGGAGTACGATGGAAATACACGGAGTACAACAGGAGTACATAGAATATAATATGAAATGGGCTTTGTAATTATTGAAAAACAGACTTGAAATTTTTGTGAAACACGATCTAAAAGGAGTGTTGACACGGAGGAAAAAGCAGATTATCGAATCCCGAGATCCTATGGATCCTCAGGATCTCCACAGGATCCTCTAGATCCCCGATACGAATATTTCCTTGGGTGTAGTTAGGGTCCTAGTCCCGAATTTGAATGTGTTTGTATACTTATATTTCTCTGCAGGGTACTACTTTGAATCTATCTCAGAACAAAACAAATTCTTAGAGTATCCTAGGTCCTCAATCCCTGTATTTTGGAGGTATCCCTAGGTCGTCAAGTCCTATATTTTGTAGGTACTCTTAGGCCCTCAAGTCCTATTGTATAGGGATACTCATTGGTCCTAAAGGGCTATTCTATGGGGTACCCATAGATCCTCAAGGACTATTCTATGAAGATACCCATAGAGGGTGTGGATGAAAAGAATAGACATATTCCCACACTCACATCCACATCCACACCCTGTTTGATAAAAGAAACACTGCTCTATAAAACACACTGGTTTTCAGGATTTTGAAACCTCCTCTTAAAGCTCAATTCTTTTAATTATTCATAAAATATTAATTGTATTCTAAAATAGTTGTTAAAAAATCCCATTAAGATTTATTGATGTAAAACAAAAAATGCAGATGTTTGTATAGTTTTCAATGCTCTTTCTCATGGTGTATCTCAAAACCGAAAATTATAAGAAGACTTTCCTATAACCATGAATTAATAATAATTATTAATAATTAATAATTAATTAATATAACTCACAGGTTTTTTAAAATATTCATACCGAAATGTAACCTGTTCAATTCTGCATCAAATAGTATATTTGGAAACTTTTTCTGTTTTTCGAGGACATCAAAAGTGATAAAATACAAAAAGTATCTTAAACTTTTGATCGCTGAGCAAAAACAGTTTCTATAATAAAAATTGAATAGATTTAGCGTTCGGGCTTTCAATACGATAGGCTTGTAGCTCTTTCCGAGAGCTATCAAAATCACTATTTGGATGTTCATTAAAAGTTATTTTTGATGGAGAAAAACGAAAAACAAAAAATGCCTTAAACTTTTGATTCCCACTTTAGGCATGGTGAGATTGAGAAGCTTTAGATAAGGTAATTCGCTATAGACTTTATGAATTTCAATCGAGGAAATTCACGTTGCTCGTTCAAGTATTCGTCCAGCTACTGTTAATACTATTGGTGCTGTTCGAATGATAATTGAAGATGGTTCTCACTGGGCATATCAATTCATAGAAAACACGTGAAGGAGTTCATTGAAACAAAAGTTCAGACAAGTGCATCATGCCATTGAGATCTAGTAGACTGAAGTTAGCCTGTCAATAGTGGCATAGCATAAGTTTTCAAACTATATCAGAAAAGAAATAATAAATCAGTCTTGAATGTCTCAGTTTTCACTATGAAATCTCAAGACCATGAACATTCTAGGTTCTCCAAGAATTCGCTATCAAAAATCATATTCTGAAGATCTAAACCCATTTGACTTCTTTCTGCTGTTAACATTGTCACGTCAATTATACAAAGTTAGTCTAAACGACAGCGGTTCGATGTTACACATACTTTGAGCAACTATTAATGACCTCTGAAAAAAAAAGTGACCTATTTCAATCGAAGGCACCAATGCATTGTGGTTGAGAGATGGTACTTTGAAAAACAACACTAGAGGGGTGTGGGATGTGGCTAAAAAGAAGATACATCTACACTTTCGCTTTTGACTGAATGTGAGTCAACCTCGTAGTAGCAAATGAAAATTCTATGTTCAAAATTTCACCCCTCACCTTCTCGGAGTAAAGAAAAAAAGTTCCATTTTCTTATACCTAACTTACGGTCGGAAGATCGGTGTGGGTAATTCACTAGGACATGAACTATCCTTGACTCGATTTCGATACAAAAATTTTAAATATATGGAAGGGAGAGGATAGGAAAACAGTATCATTCTATCTCATCTTTTCATGAGCTTTGATACAATATTTATTGATTTTTGAATTAGCACAAAATCCGTTTCGTGGTATATACAATGAAATATGCATTAAACTCATCGTTCTACTTTGTACAATATACAAATACATTATCATCATCTACATATGACGCAGACTGTGTTCAATGAGATTATGATGGCATTTTCGATATGATTTATCTTATTCGTACATTTCATAGCTTCATTAACTCTATATATGAAGTATGACATAACTATTGTACTTTGAATAAACAACATTTATCAAAGTCGTAAAAACACAAGTATACAATGAAGAAAAGCATTATTTCGATTTGTAATTATAATAGCTATTTTATTATTTATATGTAGTCGAATGAAGCATTAATATGTTATTGCCAAAAGTTTAACGTCAACCAAAAAAGATTTATCGGGAATAGTGAGAAAAAAATACGATTATTAGTTATTACGGGAACTAGAGAAAGCTTAAAAATTGCCAATTTCGATCTAATTTTTGTTCTCCTATAGATTTAATTCAATACAAAATATACATTAGAGAAAATTTTATGAATTGATAACTGATTGAAACTACTCTTCAAATTTGAATTCAAAATAATAGATTAAACAAATGAATGGTTTCAATCTATTTTCTTATGTTGGTCGAAATCCTATCATCAATATGCACACGATAAAGTTATTACTAAACGATCTCTTGTAGCACAGAATTAGCATACACAGATCCTACGTCTAGCATACTGTTTATCTCCAAATTCGCACCAATTCTTAATTTGCTCATCGCATTCTGCTGAACTAAACTGTATGTGAAAAGAATATTTTCAAGTAGATTCAACTGGAAATATTTATCACTGTACATTTTATTATACAGTATGAATATTTTCGAAATAATAAAATCTAGAGAATTGAGTTTGTTTTTATCATTATTATGAGGTATTGGGTTTTTATCTAACCTAAAAATATGAATGGAATCGGAACAACACTTTGTAGGTTACAGATCAAATAAATTGTAAATTGTCATTGTATTAAGTGAGTGAATTTACTATTTTTTGGATACTTCTTTTTATTTGGTGTATTGATTTTCTATTCATTCAAATTTTTCTTAACCAATAATAACGATGGTCTTGTGTCACTGAGTCAAAAAAAGAGAAAAATGTCTGTTATGGAATATAGAGAACAGAAATATACGAACGAAAAGATGTAAAGATTAATGAATCACATGTTTTGGTATACTGACGCCCAACCTAGAAAAATGGTCTATTTATATTTTCTTTTTGTCTGTTTTTTTTCACAAGCTGACATTTGCCCTACATATGTCTCGCTTCAAAATGCTCTACTTTTTAACTACACCTTACGACTAACTATGAAATAAACAAAATAAAAAAAATAGTTTAAAATCATTCCATAAGTACAAAAGTTTCAACGTAGATGCTCTAAAACACTAGTTGTCCAAAAACGTTGCAATTTTTCATATATAACGAAGAATATGAGTGACCTTAGCTTTTAGAAATAAACATTGTTTCTAATCTGCTTTGATATATTTACAATGGACTTGTTTAGATATATAAGAATCTCGAAGCATGTATAAAATAACTCTGACGATAGATTTATTTAATGTTATACTTTATAATTCAAAAATTTCATCGATCATTGTTGTTAAATGTGTATTTAACACCCACGAGTAACTTATTAACAACAAAATAAATTTCAAGTACTATTTTATTTGTTCTGTACATTGTATTCACTCGTCTTAGGACTCTATTGACGTGAAAGAAATTCTTTCCTTTATTTTCGTGTGAAGAATTGTTCTCTTTTGTCTACGTTAGTGTCTTTCATTGATGGAATAAATAGTTTTTCCAAAGAAGCATATTTAATATATGTCAATAGAATAATTGAATAAAGTGTTCTTTTCTTTTTGCTTATATTGATTCTGTTAAAAGCACAGTTCCTTTTTTTTTTTTGATTAACTTTTATTTCTTTGAAATATGCACAGTGTGAAAAAAATATTCAATAAATCATTATCTTTATGCAATCATGTTGAAAATTGGTTGACAATAATGTTTTGAATTACAGAACACTTAAATTCTACAAGTAAAAATATCTTTACTAGATGTGTTCACAATAATAAAAAAACAAAAAAAGCAATATAGAAGAGAAAAATATTTAAATTACACAGAAAAAAGATAAATTAATGACTTTTATTATTGCGTCAGATGGATCATTATTTAATATGAACATCTGTCAATAGTAACTCAGATGTCCAAGACAGAAATATTTCTCGAGAGAATAATTAAGGGATTATTTTTTTTTTGCTTCTAAGCAATGTTAATCATCGAAAATCTATGTTATCCATTTAAATGAGAAATAATTGAAAATAATATCATACTGTTTCAACATGAATGAAAACTAATCTCTGATTGATCTTTGAATATTAGATTAGACTGTCAAAGACAAAAGAAAAAAAACGTCTCCTTCCTGCATTGAAACAGAAGAACGGATGTTGATTGAAGCCATACGTTTTTTTTTGCTCAATAGTGATTGACATCCGACTAAAAGGAAAACTCATTTTCTCATACATAACCAATAGGGTTTCTCTCATCATTTGACTTTGAAATGAATGAATGAATGAATGAATGCCAGAATTTTTTAACGATCGGAACATACAATAATGGTCTAGAACTTTTCTTGACAACAGAGAGAGAGAAAAAAAAGCAAAAAAAAAATGAGTACGAGATTTGGTATAAAAAGGGAAACCAACATTGCCATATAATCATTTACTACTTTCATATTTCTAGAGAAATCAGACATCATTCAAAATACAATGTCGTTCGATACTGTTGATAAACTTAATCGAGAATTTGAACGTGGTTATAATAATGGTCAAGTCAAAGAAGCTGTTGCTACCTATGCTAATGAGGGCCGACTTTTTGCTAATGATAAACAAATTTATGAAGGTTTAAGTCAAATTGAAAAATATTACAATAATGCAAGAACTTCTGGAAATTCCAAAGTTGAATTACGTACTGGACAAGTTATTCAATGTGGCTCTGATTATTTGGTTGAAACAAGGTTTGTCATTTCAATAGTTTCTTATCATTTATTCTTTTTTTTTTTTTATTTCTATAGTCAATACAAAATTAATACTGACAGCGGAAATTATGTTGTTGTCTGGAAAAAAGATGGTGGACAATGGAAAAAAATTATTGATATTTTCAATTGAACAGAAAACAATAACAATTCATAGATGAACATTGTTCTTCTTTTTTTCCCCTTCCTTTAAACATTTAATCACGCTTATTCATTAGATTCTCGTAATAAAATTGAATTATATATTAGTTAATAGAATGAAATTTTCTTTTGATGTAATGAAAAATCAAAAATAAATAATACATAGATGATTGCATGAATATCTATTAGATACCTTGTTTGAATAATTAAATAAATTTTGGATCTCTTCTTTTTGACACGTCATGACATATATTGTAAAGAATTTATTTAACAACTATTCTTTTATAGTTTTTATTGTTCTTGGCTACATAGATAACATCAAATTTTCTTCATTTTTGTATTAGATATATAACAATAGCTATTTATGTATGTCTTCATATTGTTTATCTATAGTTCCAGTAGAAATATCAATTTCTAATAAGGATATGATGAAGGAACATTCCTAACTGTCTAATTGCTTTTTGCTTGAGATTATTGTCATTCGATCGATCTTGATGAACAGTGGAAAAATTCTGTTGTAGTTTGACTCAATTTTTGTCCTAGGACATATGATCGTTGAAAACCTGAATGATCAAATTTCGAGCTGAAATTTTGTCTATAGATAGGTTTTATAATCACTAGAAATCCTTCAACGTTTGAACCAGAACAAATGCATCCTTATCGAGATATTCATGTTTTAAAGAAAGGCACTTTTTGAATTGTGTTTCAAAACAACGATCATATCCTCATAGAACAAAAATTGAGTAAAACACTCATTACTCAACAAGGAAGAAGACTAGAAAATCAAATCAGAATAGACTTTTTTTTACTACTCATTGAGACCGATCAGATGACTATAGTCTGAAATAAAAAGTGATTTGACAATTGGTAACATCCCTTCGTGCAACGTTTTAGTCTACTGGAAAAGAAATCCGATGACATTCATTTGAAATAATGATATGTATTTGTATATATTTATAGCAAAGTGAAGAAACGGTAACAAAGACGAATTCTGTCATCAAATTATATAAAAACCTTTTTTTTATTATTATTTACATTTAAGTATTAAAATATTCACATATATAGAACAAAATATAGATACTATTGGTTTATTAATAAAACCAACATTACATGCAAAACACAAATCAATTAACAATAAAACAAAATTCGATGAATTTTTCATGTACATCGACCAATTCTTCTTTTATCTCGATGAACAACTATAATAAGATAGGATTTAATTAATCATTTATTTGATAATATATAATAATTAATAGAAAAATTGAAACTAAAAATATATCGATACTAATGATTTATCTTTAATAAACATTTGGTTTAACTTTGATAGAAAAAAAATTCTTCATAAATACACAAATATACAATATTAAATAAAGTATCATCGTATAATCTTTTTAATATGTCTGTTATTTTCTACAGCATAATTTATAATATAATTAAAGTCTATATTCAAATTAGGAAATTAACATTTTTGACAAAATATATCATTCTTGCTAACATTATGTCTCTAATAGTGTCTTAGTTCTCTTATTTTGTATTTAAATCTATTCAGTTCTCCTCTTTTGATTTGTAATTTTCTTTTGAGGATTAAATCGTCCAGAGGATATGATTATTAATAATAGATAGATAAAAATTACAAAGATCTCATCCTTCCTTCAACAGTAAAATACGAAAATATTTCAATCTCATATATACAGTGGCTGCCAAAATTATCTAACCAGTTTACACTCTCTACTAAACTAGTACAACAAATGTCAGGTCAATCCATTGATATATTTAGTTTTTATTGATGATACAATCACAGCATGCTTTTTTTGCATCAAAATTTTTTCTTTAAAAGTTTAGATTTGTAGACAATTTTTTTCTGTACAATATTCTTATATTTGAAATCAAAACCGATTATATCACATAAGTTATATATATCTTTGTTAAGTTATAAATAGCAGCAATAAAAAGCTTACTGTAGTCTTAGAAACAGGCTGGACATGTATCTCATCCAGCAAAGATGTGTCAAATGAAACTTAACATAACGTGTGGTTATAAACTTCATCTTCTATCTACATAGATATGATGCGCAAAAGTTAGCTATGTATTTAATGAGATTACACTTCAACCGTTGCTGGGACTATGATAAGTTTTTTATTCCTGCTATGCATAACTTAACAAAGGCATATAAATTATGTGATATAATTGGTTTTGGTTTCAAATATAAGAATCATCTTGTGTTTTCAATATATATAAAATAAAACAAAATTACCTATTGGTTGGATAATTCTGACAATCACTGGATATATACTATTTACCATTTTTACTGAAACAGTTTCTTTTTTTTACGTTTCAATAAGTACCAGTTATTTTACGAGAATCGACTACATTCGATGCACTTGTCTGTAGTACACATGAATAGACAGCCATTATCATAATGAAAAGTTATTTAAAATGTGAAAAAAAAGAATTACTAAATACAGAAATCATAGAAAAAAATTTGTTTTTAATGTATGGAACTTTTCTTTTACTTCACTTGTTCATCTTTTTTTACAATTGCAAAAAACAGAAACAATGAAAGGAAAATGAAACAATTATAACTGTTGATCTTTAATTTTTTTGCTATTATTTTCCTTGATCCATCTTAAGAATGTCATTTACAAATATAAAAATTTTTTTTACAAAATGAGTTAAGGTATAAGCATGACAAAATATTGAAAGTAGGTTGTATTTATTTTTTCAATATAAATTAATATGAACATCAATAATAACCAATAAAGATTGTAATAACATTTGATATTAATAAGTAGTTAAATAATGTTTCAAGACATTTTGATCGATCTTCGGATAACTCTTAGGGGTACGCAAGCTCAGCTCAAGCTCACAAATAATGAGCCGTTGAAAACGCTCACTGAGACCAACTGAACTATTCGAACAGTTCATTTGAGCGAACTGATCTTTCTCAAACAGCTCATCTCACATGAGCTGAACTGTCAGAACAGCTCATTAGAACGAACCGAGCTTTTGAAACAGCTCATTTCATATGAGCTGAACTGTTAGAACAGCTCATTCGAACGAACCTAACTATTTCTAGGGGTGCTCATAGATTCTCGAGGGCTACCCTATAGGGACGCCCATAGGTCCTCAAGTCCTATTACTGGGGGATACCCTTGGGTTCTCAAGTCCTATTATTGGGGAATACCCTTGGGTTCTCAAGTCCTGTTATTGGGGGATACCCTTGGGTCCTCAAGTCCTATTATTGGGGAATACCCTTGGGTCCTCAAGTCCTATTATTGAGAATACCCTTGGGTCCTCAAGGACAAATGCCAAAGCTGTATTTTCGCTGTGTTTCACTGGGTAGGAGCCCATACATACACCCATCAATCGATAGAGCATCCTCGATAACCTTATGGTCGGCCCGAACATGGCTACGTTTTGTCCTTACAATAAGAGAAAAAA